ACATGGTGGCTCATGCCTTTAATCCCAGCACTCAAGAGGCAGAGGCAGGTGGAGCTCTCGGAGATTGAGGTCAAACTGGTCTACATAGTGAGTTCCGGGTCAGGTGGGGCTACAGAGAGACCCTGTCAAAAAAGAAAAAAAAAAAAGAAAAAAAAAGTTGTTTATGTGCCTGATTGCTTGCCTGCATTTTTGTAAGTGCACCTGCACACACAACCCTCCTGGAAGCCAGAAAGGGCTTCAGATCCCCTGGAGCTGGAGTTACTGGTGGTTATTACCTACCATGTGCATGCTGGGAACTGAACCCAGGTTCTCTCTCTGGGCAGCCAGTGGTCTTAACCACTGAATCATTTTTTCAGCCCCAGCACCTGGTTTTCTTATGTGGGGCTAGAGCTCTGGTCCTCAGGTTTGTATAGCAAGCACTTTACCTCAGAGCCATCTCCCAGCCCATCCAGCTATTATCTTTGCAAGTCTTACAGAAACTAGATACATTGACACAACTGTATACCAAGCCGCTGCTGCAAGGAGGATGAGGTATTTACAACAAAAATCTAAGGCCCAGGGTCTGGAGAGCTGGCTCAGTGTTTGGGAGGACCAGCTGCTCTTGCCGAGGACCGGGGTTCAGTTCTGAGCACCCACATGGTGGCTAACAACCATCTGTAAATCCAACTGCCTTCTTCTGGCCTCCAGGGGCACTGTACTCATGTGTACATACCCACAACAAACATGCACACAAACATATAATTTAAAAATAAATAAACAGGTACTAGAGGGATGGCTTAGTGGTTAAGAGCATTGGCTGCTCTTGCAGAGAACCCAGGTTTGGTTCCCAGCACCCACATGGCTGCTAACAACCACTGATAACACCAGTTTCAAGGATCCTCTTCTGACCTCTGTGGGCATTTCATGATGTAGTTGCACTTACATACATGCAGCAAACACTCACATAAAATAAAAATAAAAGCATTAAAAAATAGGGTCTGGAGGGATGGCTCAGTGGTTAGGAGCACCGGCTGCTCTTGCAGAGAACCTGGGTTTGGTTCCCAGCACCCACATGATGGCTAACGATCATTGGAAACTCCAGTTCCAGGGTATCTGATACCCTCTTCTGGTCTCCATAAGCATTGCATGCACAGGTGCACTTACATGCAGGCAGAACGCTCACATACATAAAATCAAATTTTAAAAAGTCTAGCAGTTGGCAAGGTGGCTCAGTGGGTAAATGCACTAAGCGACAACCCGAGTTCAATCTCCAGAACCCATAGGATGGAAGGAGAGAGTCAACTCCCACAAGTTGTCCTCTGACCCCCATACATCCTCCCGCCAAATAAATAAATGCAAAACCTTTTCTTAATGAAGCAAAACTTTGGACTGCAGAGTCATTCACCAGACTGCTCTTCCCAGACCTCATAGTCTAGCAACTCAACCCAGCAAGTGAATTTCTGCCCTCTGTAGTTTTTTTTTTTTTTTTTTTTTTTTTTTTTTTTTTTTAGTGTAGCTATTGAGCATGTTAACAAAAGGTTTAGTTGAAAAGACCGAAGCCCATGTCATCATCAGCCTCCTCTGATTCTTCTTTCTTTGTCTCCACTTTCTTCTTAGCCAGGGCAGCGGCAGCAGAGGGGGCAGGACCACCTGCTGGAGCAGGTCCACCAGCCCCTACGTTGCAGATGAGGCTCCCAATGTTGACATTGGCCAGGGCCTTTGCAAACAAGCCAGGCCAAAAAGGCTCAACATTGATGCCAGCTGCTTTCATGAGAGCATTGATCTTATCCTCCATCATGGTGACCTTGGTGCAGGATGAGGGTAGAGTAGAGGCAGGGGAGCTCGGACAGGGAGGCCATGCTGCGGACTGCCGGATGAAGTGAGGGCCTCACCCCAACGTGGCCTTAGGGTCCTCGGAAGGGCGGGCGGAGTACCTTGGCAGCTCAAGAAAGGCCCCTGTAATTTTAAGGCTGCAGGAGCCTTGGATTGCTACCTCTGCCCAGCACTGAGAGAAAACACCAGTTATTCAGCTTTCTCTTGCTATGACAAAATACCTAAGGTGAACAACTTAAAATGAAAAAAAAAAATGTTTATTTAGGCTTGTGGTCTTAGAGGTTTCAGGCCCTGTCATCCTCAGGTATGTGATGAGACAGTACATCATGGTGGGAATGTAGGGAATGTGGTACACCTTCAATGCCTAACTTCCTTCCACTGGGCGCCATCTCTGAAAGGCTTTGCCAGCTCCTGATACCACCATCAGCCTTTAACACATGAGTCTTCAAGGGACACTTATGGGCCAAAATGTAGTATCATCACACTGCATGCTAGTCTGGGAAGCATTAAGTTCAAGATTTGAAGCGTGGTTTCATGTTATTATGAAGTCAACAAATTCCAAGTTCAGGCTGGAGAGATGGCTTAGCGGTTAAGAGCACTGTTGCAGAGGGCCTGGGTTTGGTTCCCAGCACCCACATGGCAGCTAACAACCGTCTGTAACTCAGTTGCAGGGGATCGAACTATTCATAGGACTGCATGCATGTAGTACAGTTACATGCATACAGGCAAAACATTCATAAGTGAAAAAAAATTTTTTTTTGTCTTTTTGAGACAGTTTCCCTGTAGCCCCAGCTAACCTGGAACTTGCTATGTAGACCAGGCTGGCCTGGAACTCACAGAGATCCGCCTGCCTCTGCCTCCCAAGTGCTGGGATTAAAGGTATGCACCACCACGCCTGTCCCATAAACAAAATTTAAATGCATACATCAAAAAACTTTAAGGGGCTGGAGAGATGGCTCAGTGGTTAAGAGCACTGTTGCAGAGGTTAACAACCATCCATAACTCTAGTTCCAGGGGATCCAACACCTTCTGGCCTCCACAGACATTGTACACATGGGAGCACTTGTGTACACACAGGCAAAACACTCAGACTACATAAAATAAAAAGAAATTAAATTTAAAAAATCCCAAGTTCAATCACGCGGGCTAAGGATTAAGGCAACATAGCCACATGTTCTAGAAATTAGTGCAAACATGTATTTGGGGGACCGCTAAGCTGCCCGCCACACCACACCCTTTGACTATCTGGACAGGATCTAGAGTTGTCTGGGGGATAAGCCTCTGAGCCTGCCGGTGAGGGTGTTTCTAGGTTGGGTTTACTGAAGTGGGAAGAACCCCCCCCCCCATCATGGGCAGCACCATCCCACAGGTTTCGGTCCTGGGCTGAATAAAAAGGGGAAGTGAGCTGAGCACTGGCATTCATCTCTCTGCTTCCCAACTGTGGATGTGATGTGACCAGCTGCCTCATGTTCCTGTCACCAAGGTTCCCCCACCATGATGGACTGTACCCCGAGTGTGAGCCCTTTTTCCCTTAAGTTGCTTTTCTGAGGGTATTTTGTTATAGCAACATAAAGTAAATAAGACAGTCACTGTTTGCAAAGAAAATGAAACACCACTGGCTCGTAGCTGCCAGACAGGAGGAGACAAGCCTAGGGGCTTCTTCTTGTTTTATTTCCAGATCTAAATTTGGATCCTGGCTGCAAAGAAGGCTGGTGGACTCTGGCCTTGAGGATGGATCCACCCAAGAGAATGAGTTTCAACCCAATCCTTGTCATGCTGAGAAGGGTCCCCAGGATCCGGCTAGAGCCACAGGGCCAGGGGGACGGAGGATCCTGATGCCAGGAGACACTGGGTAGAGTCTGGAGAGACTGGCATTTTCGGCATCCACAGGGAGGAATGTGGGGGTCTCACTGTGGTGGGAGGATGCCGGCAGAATGGGTTCCAGTGCAGCTCATTAGTTGGACCTGATGGTATCATTGATCCACTCAGAGAACTTGCAGAGGTTGGTGTAGACGCCTGGCCTGTTGGGCTTGGCACAGGGGAAATCACCCCAGGACACCAGGCCCTGCAGCTGGCCATCACAGACCACAGGTCCCCCGGAATCACCCTGTCAGGGAGGCACAGACAGAGGCAGGGAGGTGGCGATAAAGGGAGGAGACACCAGACACCCAGAGACAGTCACAGTGCAGAAGGACCAGGCACAGGAGACAGGCAGATACCAGGGTGAGAAGACAGTCAATGCAGACACAGGTAGCGTGGAGCAGGACAGAGAGAGGATCTTGTCAGTGTTTCCCTCCAAGTCCAGCCTGTAGAAACCCTGCCTGCCCACTTCCAGCCAACCCCCTAATGTCCATCTCTGCAAGCATCATTCTTTTCTGATTTATTCTTCAAGAGAGTCCCAGTCTATCTCTCTGGCTCCCTGTTGTCTGTCTGTCCATCCATCTATCATCTATCTAATCTATCTATCTATTCATTCATCTATATTTATCCATCCAGCTGTCTGTCCATCTATTTATCTATTCATCTACCCATTCACCCACCCATTTAGCCATTTATTCTTCCATCCATCCATCCATCCATCCATCATCCATCCACCCATCCATCCATCACCATCCCATCATCCATCCATCCATCCATCCATCATCCATCCATCCATCATCCATCCATCCATCCATCCATCCATCATCCATCCATCCATCCATCCATCCATCATCCATCCATCCACCAATCCATCATCTATCATCTATCGCTCATGTCTCTTCTCTCTCCTCCCTCTCTCTCTCCTTTCTCTCTCCTCTCTTCTCTCTCTCTCTCTCTCTCTCTCTCTCTCTCTCTCATACCTATTCTCTTTCTTACCAGACACTCCTTCCCCGCACCTTCCTCTTCCCCTGTCTTGACACCAAAAAGCAACTTAGAAGTCACTTTTGCAAAAACACATAGCTCCAGGGGATTTGGCTCACTTGGTAGAGTTACTCTCACACATGAACTCTGTGGTTCTCCCCATCACTGTAGAAACCAGATGGATCAGAAGTTCAAAGTCTGGGGCTGGAGAGATGGCTCAGGGGTTAAGAGCACTGACTGACTGCAATTGCAGAGGACCAGTTCCCAGCACCCACATGGCAGCTAAGAACCATCTGTCACTCCAGTTCCAGGGGATCCAACGCCCTCTTCTGACCTCCACAGGCATTGCATAATATGGGCGCAGTTATACACATATAGGCTATACACTCATACACATAAAATAAAATTAATAAATAAAATAGTTTTAAAAAAGAAGTTCAAAGTTATTCTCAGCAACACGTGACAATCAATAATGTCTCCACATAGCCCCTGAGGGACAGAATCACCTCGTTTAAGAACTGCTCCCTTGGGCTAGATTGTGTTACCTCTCTAATTCCTCACAGCTCCTTGTGGTTTCCTCCCTCCCTCCTCCCCCTCCCTCCCTCCCTCCCTCCTTCCCTCTCCTTCCCTCCCTCCCTTCCTTCCTCCGTCTCTCATCCCTTCCTCCCCACCCCTCTGTGTTCTGAAGGGGTGACAAGGTCTTGCTGCGTAGCCCAGGTGGCCTAGAACTTGCTTTTACTTCCTGAGTCCTCCACCAGGCCTGGCTGGTTTCCCATTAATTTTCATTTGAATCTCTGCATTGAGATTCCAAGAGTCCCTTAGATTCCAAGAGTCTGTTAGTTAACTTCTCTGTAAAATAAGGCTCACAATAGTGGCTGCCTGAGTTAAAGAGTGGATCCCTATAAACAGCTTGAAACAGCAGTCAGCCCTTAATTAGGCACTGGTTCAATTTTATTAGTAGCATTAGCCCTGCACTTTGGGTATTTATTAATAATTATTATTAATTACCATTGTGTGTGTGTGCGTGTGTGTGTGTGTGTGTGTGTGTGTGTGTGTGT